GTGTTACCTAGTACCAGGCATGTCTCATGTGTATGTTCTCTATGTCTGACCAGGTGTACAACTCTGTGATAGCCTCCATCTGTTGCAAAAAGAAGTTTCTTTGATGAGTGCTGTACAGCATGCTATTTGCTCTAAGGGAGGTCTCTTTTATTTCACACTGCATTCCCTCCATCTTTCCATTCCTAACTTCCCTCCCTTCCCCACACCGTGATCCCTTACATGTAAAAAATATGGAACACTTTATGAATTTGTGTATCATTCTTGCACAGGGGTCATGCTAATCTTTCCTGTATTGCTCCAGTTTTAGTATATGTGCTGTTGAAGTGAGTGCTCAAACAATTTTAATCATCTTTATACCCCCCATCCCCACTGGCATCCTCCCATAGCCCCCAATCCCACTGGATCCCATATTCTCTGTCATCCCTGTTACTGCCCACTGTGTTGTTAGTGCACCCACACGTTCCCCAGTGCAAGTCCATCTGCTGAGCCTAGTCAGCCTATCTAAGATCCCCTTGTTTTAGGAAGATTAGCTGTTCTTCATCTAGCAGGAATCAGTTGCCAATATTCCTTTAGATAAGATTGGGGTTTGCTGTTCATTATCCCAGTTCTATGTTGGGCTACTGTCTACCTCAGTTTCCATGGGACTTTTGTATGCTGACACCTATGCCCTAGAATCATACGAGCATGTTCCCAGGAGCTTCTAGGACTCTCTTTCTATGTGGTCATGCACATCCTCCCTGGCTCTTACAATCTTTCTGACCCCTCTTCCACGATGGTCCCTTGGGTGGATGAAGTTTAATAAAGCGTCCTGTCCAAGGACCATTATTTAGAAGACTCTTGATCTCTACACTTTGGCCATTTGTGTCCTTTTTTTGTTCTTGGCTTTCCATTGCATGGGGGAGCTTCATTGTTGAGAACTGATTCATTAGGGTCCTCTTCTTTATCCCCATTCTATGTTCTATGAGCCTTAGGTGTAGAGGTTGCACTGCAGATGTGTCCCTTAGGCCTGGGCAATTCATAGACAATGTCCATGTGTGACCACTTGTGGTACTTGGTATTAGTCTCTGAGTGCTGCAAAATGAACTTCTTTGATGAGTGGCGAATGGGATATTTGTCTACAAATATAAGGATACATATTTTGCACATAGTAAGAAATCACATTAGTTTAGCAAAGTGAGAATTTTGGGGTTTTCTCTAAGATCTATGACCACTCTGGCCATGTGTATTTTGTTATGTTACAGTACCACACTTGAGTTTCCTCCCTTTCAGTAGGCTTTTAGTCAAATTAGGTAGCTGTTGATTGACCCATTATAAAAGTGCCACTACCTCACCAATGACATATGCTGTGCTGGCCACTGATGTGGTTATTTGGTCTTGAATCTGGTGTTGGATCATCCATTGATGTTTTCCCTTGGTACTTTCATAGCACTCTCGAAAGCTATGAGAGCTAGCCTTCAAGGGAAGTGGCTTCCAGGTCAGTTGCAGCTCTATTGCTCCAAATCCTGTGTCTGACATGTTCTGTCTTCGGCAGTAGGATCCTACCTTCCAGTTCTGGGAGGACATAAAGGGCTGTGGCAATGGCCTGAGTAATTTTGGGAGTCTCTTGGACCACCTGGCCAACAACTCAAGGGAATGTGTCTCCTGTCTGGCTCTGTTTCCTGTTACGTAGCCTTTAGCTATACACGTAGACTCATGTAGAGATAATAAAAGAAATTTAACAAAGAAATAGAAATACAGAGGAAAATTCCCTAAGAAATGCTGACAATGAAAAACACAAGTCAAATAAATGTTTTTCATTTTCACCATTTCTTAGGGACTCTTCCTCTGTATTTCTATCTCTTTGTTAAATTCCTTTTCATGTTTTCTGTGATGCTTATTATTTCAATAGGATGTTGGTTTTCTCAAACAAGGGTTTAATTTCCTTTTTGATTTTGTTGAACATATTATGCTCATTATTCTGAGTCCTCTTCAGCTTCATCTGTGTCACTCTATTTTCCATTCGTATAGCATTAATCATCTTTGGTTATGTTTCAATGCTTTTTTCATGTTCCCTGCCTTTCTGCATTGAAATTTACCTGTATGAGGTTATTTGGTTCCTTTTTAAAAATCAGCAATCAACTTGCAACGTTCAAGTGAAGCTCAGCTGTGGTAAGTGCTAAAGTTTAGGTGCATAGTTCAGAAAATAGTTCCTCAGTTCAAGAGCTCAGGTTACCTAGTACAAACTCTTAAATCCTTTCTTGAATAAAACACATTTTCTGTCCTTGAATATATTTTCTACTGCTTGTGGCATTGCCATTATATATCCCCTCAATCCTTAGGTATTGTACCCTCATCATATCAACATATATTATCATTGGTTGATATGAAGTTTTTTCTCTTTTATCCTAAAATCCTATTTTCTTCCCAGTTTATTTTCCTTTATCTTCACTGTGCATAAGTAAATACTTTCACATTTTTTGACATACTTTTTAAAGATTTTGGTACAAAATCCATTTTTTTTGCAGACTGTACTAACCGCTGGTATTAGATGCACATTTCTATAAATTTTGTTTATAATATTGAAAGTACATACAGTTACAGTGATGTCTTATTCCACTTGACTGAATTTTAAGATCCAACTTTGAGCATGCTCCCATCCTCCTGGAGGACAGTGGTTTAGTAGGACACCCTCCATGGTCTCAACTGTGCTCAGTCCACAGATTGAAGCCTACTTATGGTCTTTGATAATGTGGACATAGAAGTTATTCCCTATTTTGACCCAATAGAATTCAGAATCTTCTGTAGTGAGAGCTGCAATATTTGAAGTGTTTCTTTCTCCAACACAGCTACTCTTCCTTCTTTTTCTAGTGTTTTCACCTATATATCACATGTATCTACTAGTTTATTCTTAATTGCTTCCCAATAAGTGTCTGCTCTATTGTTCTCTGACAGAACCTGAAACTGGACATTTTGTTTAGTCTGGCCAGTCAGTGAGCTCTGAAGAGCCACCTGCCTCTGCTTCCCAACCCGGGGGTTGCAGGTGTATATGACAATACATGGCTTCTACTTAGGTGCTGGAAATTTGAACTCAGATCTTCAATTTTGCACAGCAATTGCTTTTACATACTGAACCATCTCTCTAGCCCATAATTATTATTTCAAACTATTTTCTTCAGCATTAAAGCTTACAACATAGCTATAAAGAACATAACTAAATTTTGTCCCATTTTGAAAAAGGGACACATGCATACACATGCAGATACACACACACACACAGAGAGAGAGAGAGAGAGAGAGAGAGAGAGAGAGAGTTTCTGTTCAATTTATCACAATCAAGTTGAAATTTTACACGTTCCAAAAGGCTAATTTTGAGAAATAACCTCCTTACTATTTTTAAAGGCTTAAATTGAAACTCCAATAAGCCCATGAAATCAATTTTTTCTCAAATAGTCAAATTCATAGAAGAAAGCAGTTATAAATTAGTGCAGTTTAATTCCACTTTGTGTTTGAAAATGACTTTAGAAGTAAGGGAAATACCTTTCAGCGTTCTTTCACAAAGAAATGATGCTCTGGCTTGGTGTTCAGCAGGATCCAAACAGAACTACAGATCTCTTAAATACAAATTTTGGGGTAAGGATTTTTATATTACTGCAATACTGAATATTCCCTTGGAAGTTAAATTATAAAATTCTGTTAAAATGAACCTAAAGCTTGTGGAATACTTGCAAAATTGATGTCGTAGTGTGCTTCTTAATGATTTTATATCAAAAAAATAGCCTGAGAGCTCTCTAAAACTTATTTGATGCATGTGTATTTGTGTGTGTGTGTGTGTGTGTGTGTGTCTTTGTACAGATACACATGTGCCACAACAGGTGGATGGAGGCCAGAAAAAAACTCCACTGATATTTCTTGCCTTCCACTTTCTTGAAGCAGGATCTTTCTTGTTGTTCACTGCTGTAAGCAATAGGCTAGCTCACTGCAAGCTACAGGTAATCCCCATGTCTCTCACTCCCATCTAAGTTGACTTTCCAGGTTTATTTTATTTCATTTCATTTCATTTCATTTTAAGCTACTGTGTCTGACTTTTATGTGAGTTCTTGATATTAAAATTCAATTAATCTGTCTTGCCTGAGCCATCTCCTCAGCCCTGATTTTTTCTTTCTTTCTTTCTTTCTTTCTTTCTTTCTTTCTTTCTTTCTTTCTTTCTTTCTTTTTTTTAAATTTAGACAGGTTATCCTTATATCCCAGCTTCTCTGGAACTTGTTGTATAGACCAGACTGAAGTAAATTCCTAAAATGCCTACATATGCCAATGTTGACTATTTTTTATTTTTCAAAACATTTTATTTATTCTTTTTTAAATTATTTATTTAATAACCATATAATTAGAAGAGCATTTTATTAAAACAGCATTGACCTATTCAATAACAATTTCCAGAGCTAAGATGCATCTCTT